CTAGAGCTGATCTGTGCTGGTCGCTGAGGGAATACATCAACTTTCACCGTGGACGAAGCGGAATCCAGCCCGGGGTCATCACATGTGGTTTCCACTCATTCGTCGGATCCACCGGGCGTGCCGTTCTCGACCCCACCGCCTCAGCTGACTCTAGCCCGGCCTCAGCTCACTCTAGCCCGGCCTCGCTCCGGCCTGACACGGCGTCAACAGTATGTGAGGGGCGTAACATTTCCGTCTCATGCTTGAGGTATTCGGCCAATCACAATGCACTGGATAGCTGGCCAATCACAGCACACCTCGCTTTTTCAGACCCATGAGCTTTGTAAAAATAGATGCGTTTCAAAAAGGCGGGGCATAGAGGAGAAACAAGAATGTACAGTATGTGGAAAATAGTGTTTTTTTAACCTTAAACCGCATAAACATTACACCAAATACTGTTCTTTTTAGCAGCATCATATGACCCCTTTAATGCCTTGTATTTCCAGGGCTTGCATTTTTAGGTCTTGAAATCTAACAGTTGTTTAAGCTGTGAATATTTTAATTCAAAATATTTCACACACATTTTCATAATTAAATTCAATAATTCATGTTCAACTTCCAGAATTCACTTCCAAAATATTCAATCGGTTTAAAAATACAATGTATAATATTCGACAGAAATTTGTCCATTTTATTTCACTTTCCAGATTCGCTTCCACAAATTCAGTGGTTAAAATTCAGCAACCACTGAATTTGTGGAAGCGAATTTGGAAAGTTAAATAAAATGGACTGAAATTTGCCTGTCGAATATTATACATTGTATTTGTAAACATTGAATATTTTGGAAGTGAATTCTGGAAGGTGAATATGAATTGAATTTTTAATTATTAAAATGTGTGAATTATTTTGAATTGAAATATTCACAGCTTAAATAAACCACCATGTTAAATTTCAGAACCTAAAAATGCAAGCCCTGGAAATACAAGGCATTAAAATACATGCAGTGTTAATGCAATGCATTATTTTTTCAGTTAGTGCTATTCAACATACTTTTGCTTCAAAGACATATGCCATTATTTTAATTCCATATTGCATCCAGTGGGGACATAATTACAGATTATAATGACTTGTACGGTCTTTTTACGCGTTGCATCACGCCGCATAAACATAAAACCATGTCTGCATTTGTGATCGGAGAAACTACAAAGTGCTACTCTACACTGCTCAAAACTCACGTTTGGATCGTCAGTGGCAAATTCTTTAAATACACACCAAAAAAAAAATAAAATAAAAAATAAATAAAAAAAACTGTACTTACAGTCTGCGAGTCAGAACAGCCGGCATTGTAGTCTACTCTACCAGGATCAGGAAACAGTACTCCATAAAATGCGCTGGACACATCTGAATACTTGGGTTGAACTGTTCTGGAACGGTGTTGTAAATACAACTTAACTACCAATTTCTAGTCGTGTCCTCTTTTGGAAGGCCAAAGTAGTTTCGCTTTCACAACGAAACACACGGCGGCTGGCTTGAGAACGGCGCGGCCGGCGGATTCGGTGAAGGAGCATCCGGCAGGCTTGCGGCAACCAAGTGACGACCCCGGGCTGGACTCCGCTTCATCCACAGTGAAAGCCGATCCAGCGATCCACAGCGCGAAGTTGATGTATTTCCTCAGCGACCAGCACGGATCAGCTCCAGGCATGACAAAGCGGATATAGTCCTCTTTTGGAAGGCCAACCAAAGTGGTTTCACTTTCACAACGAAACAGTGCCTTATACTACAGTGAGAATAAAAGTTAGCCTTCTTTCTGTGTGAACATTTGGGCGGCGTTATGCAAATCTTCCCACATCGTGATGTAGATATGTGGGGGCGTGTTAGAACGAGCCGTTTTAGGTAGGCGTGGCTGACTTAACTTTTATAAAGACAATCTCTTTGGATTTGAGACTGTAGTCTTTGCAACTTTACAGATCTTTATGCACCAAAAGAGCTTGTAACTCCAAAGAGAAAAGAAAAAATTGAAAATCCCATCATATGACCCCTTTAAACGGCAAAACTATTATAATAGTAAATTGCGTTAAAAAAAAAAAGAAAAAAAAAGAAAAAAAAAAAAAGGTACAGAACACTATTGATGTACTTGCATAGCTATAAATGTATTTTTTTTTTTCCCCAAATATACACACGCATACACAGGCCTTTTAAAGAAACCTAGTCACACAGCATGAGTAATGCTTAAACACCTTTATTGTGCCCAGTCAAAAATTCAAACTTCACCTTTGTAAGCAAACTTGGCAGACAACGAGGTAGAATGACAGAGGAGCTCGAGAAATAGCTCTGCATGGAATGAATATGGTGAGAAGAGAAGACCGTTTTAGTTCTGAAAGTAATGTTATCCATTCAGACATTCAGCAGAGGATGATTAAAGTGACATTTGCATTTAGTCTGCTAAGGCTCTTGGTACATTCAAGGGAAATCTGCGGTTTTAAATTCAACAAGCAGCCATTTGGGCTCACACCCACAACACCTGCTGATGTACAACATAAGTGATTTAAAAACCTACCCCTTTACAAAGTGCAAATTAAAAAGTGCGATAAAACTACGTGCAGTCGATGGCCATTCTCATTTCAGGATTAATATATCAAGTTGGTTTGAAATCTGATCGAGAGCAGTAAAAGCAACGCCTAGTGGAGGCACGCACTGAAATTGATCTGGATTGGCAATTAGATCTGCAGGGTTATCTGCAAACCTCTTGTTCTACCAAACAGAACACTGATAAGGCAAAAAACTCCAAAAACATGGAGGGAAAAAAAAAAAAAAAAAGATTTGCGCAAAATTAAAAATCCGCCAGGTAGATTGCAATTCAACCTTTTCCATGCCATACCTTAAAACTGTTTCATGTAAAAATGTATGAAAACTAAAACGGTGAAAAATGTCATGATGAAAACCAGGCTTTTGTAGTTGCATCTCAAAAAAAATTAGCAAAAAAAGTGCCATTTAAAAAAAAAAAAAAAAAAAAGCAGCTAGTGTGGAAAGGGAAAACCAATTAAAGGCACTGTATGGCTTCCTTCTGTTAAACAATGAGACTTTAGAATGATTTACCAAAACAAAATAGCAACCTATATTTAAAAAAAAACAAAAACAAAAACACACCTTCAACCCATGGCCTGAATCTCAACTTAGTTCAAAACTCTGGGTCTTCCCATCCATGGGCCCCAGCTAACCCATCTCACTGTGTACCGTGCCAAAGTGAACAAGCCAAACTAAAAAGAAAGTGCAACAGTGAACTTTCTACAGTGTTTCCCCATGCCCCAACTCCTGGGAGGGACTTTTGAAGGGGGGCCAACTCTTGAGCGGTTCCCCAAGGGGAGCAGGCGCAATGGACATCCAGGCTGAGGCATCGTGCTGCCATGCGTGGTTTCAGTTGGCGTCCCGCTTCTTCTGGTTGCGCATCAGAGGGCGGTGGTTACTGAGGATGTCCATGGAGTGCTGCCTATGCCAGCAGGAGCGACAGAAGTATTTGAAGCAGGTCTGGGGAAGAGAAGTTCATTATATGGTACACATTAATGTACTTATGAACAGGGACACGCACAGAGTTCAGAAAGAGAAGTTTAAGGGGGAAAAATAAAATAACCTCACCTTGTCCCTGCAAAAGAATGGCCCAGGCTCACGACTGCATGATTGACAGATGGCATCCTCCAGGTATGGGTCAATCTGAACCTAAAGGAAGAACGTTCCCATAAAGAAAAATGTACAGAGTGGCATACAAGAGAGTGTAATCACACTGCCAGGCAGACATTAGCAAATGTGACTAAATGTAGTGCCAACTAAACTCAAATTACCATATAGACTCAGTATGTGAAACACCATAATGGTGTAAAACACTGGGTTTCAAAGTTCCACTTTACCTTCTTTGTAAATTTGGGCGTCTTTATCTCAACAAATGCAGCACTCACAGCTTTCAGATAACTGCGCTGGTTGTTAAAGGTTACACGTCCAGATCCTGGGAGAGAGAGAAAAAAAAAAAAAAAGAATTTTTTTAAACCAAGTAAATAAACTCCAGTATAAAAATAAGTTAGTTCAACCTGGATTTAAAAAAAAATAAATAAATAAAACAACCTCACCAATGGGGTACTTGTGCTTGTCTGTGTCAAAAAAAAATAGCAAAAAAAGGGCCATTTAAAAAAAAAAAAAAAAAAGCAGCTAGTGTGGAAAGGGAAAACCAATTAAAGGCACTGTATGGCTTCCTTCTGTTAAACAATGAGACTTTAGAATGATTTACCAAAACAAAATAGCAACCTATATTTAAAAAAAAACAAAAACAAAAACACACCTTCAACCCATGGCCTGAATCTCAACTTAGTTCAAAACTCTGGGTCTTCCCATCCATGGGCCCCAGCTAACCCATCTCACTGTGTACCGTGCCAAAGTGAACAAGCCAAACTAAAAAGAAAGTGCAACAGTGAACTTTCTACAGTGTTTCCCCATGCCCCAACTCCTGGGAGGGACTTTTGAAGGGGGGCCAACTCTTGAGCGGTTCCCCAAGGGGAGCAGGCGCAATGGACATCCAGGCTGAGGCATCGTGCTGCCATGCGTGGTTTCAGTTGGCGTCCCGCTTCTTCTGGTTGCGCATCAGAGGGCGGTGGTTACTGAGGATGTCCATGGAGTGCTGCCTATGCCAGCAGGAGCGACAGAAGTATTTGAAGCAGGTCTGGGGAAGAGAAGTTCATTATATGGTACACATTAATGTACTTATGAACAGGGACACGCACAGAGTTCAGAAAGAGAAGTTTAAGGGGGAAAAATAAAATAACCTCACCTTGTCCCTGCAAAAGAATGGCCCAGGCTCACGACTGCATGATTGACAGATGGCATCCTCCAGGTATGGGTCAATCTGAACCTAAAGGAAGAACGTTCCCATAAAGAAAAATGTACAGAGTGGCATACAAGAGAGTGTAATCACACTGCCAGGCAGACATTAGCAAATGTGACTAAATGTAGTGCCAACTAAACTCAAATTACCATATAGACTCAGTATGTGAAACACCATAATGGTGTAAAACACTGGGTTTCAAAGTTCCACTTTACCTTCTTTGTAAATTTGGGCGTCTTTATCTCAACAAATGCAGCACTCACAGCTTTCAGATAACTGCGCTGGTTGTTAAAGGTTACACGTCCAGATCCTGGGAGAGAGAGAAAAAAAAAAAAAAGAATTTTTTTAAACCAAGTAAATAAACTCCAGTATAAAAATAAGTTAGTTCAACCTGGATTTAAAAAAAAATAAATAAATAAAACAACCTCACCAATGGGGTACTTGTGCTTGTCTGTGTCGATGCCCGCATACACAACACCTCCGAACAGATCATTCATGATGCTGGCCAAGGCCTCAGCGTTGAGCATGCCATGCAGGGCTCCTACAAACACAGTGTTCCTAGGGTCCAGCCTTTGAGAGGGGCAACTCACATAGTTACTGTCTGAAACCACCCAAGGTAAAGAATTATTTTGTGTATTTGGTGTAACAATGTTGACATGCTTTAATGTTCAAAAAACACATTTTTCTAATACTGTACATTGTAGGTCCTCTATGCCCCACCTCTCTCAAACACATCATTTTCAACAAAGCCCCCTCCTTTGACAAGCGCAGTCTGCTGATTGGCAAAACACCACAAGCACGTGTTGGAAATGTAACGCCCCTTACCATAATCGCGAGCATCGGCTTTCAAAGTACAAACCCGATTCCAAAAAAGTTGGGACACTGTACAAATTGTGAATAAAAACAGAATGCAATGTGGAAGTTTCAAATTTCAATATTTTATTCAGAATACAACATAGATGACATATCAAATGTTTAAACTGAGAAAATGTATCATTTTAAGGGAAAAATAAGTTGATTTTAAATTTCATGGCATCAACACATCTCAAAAAAGTTGGGACAAGGCCATGTTTACCACTGTGTGGCATCCCCTCTTCTTTTTATAACAGTCTGCAAACGTCTGGGGACTGAGGAGACAAGTTGCTCAAGTTTAGGAATAGGAATGTTGTCCCATTCTTGTCTAATACAGGCTTCTAGTTGCTCAACTGTCTTAGGTCTTCTTTGTCGCATCTTCCTCTTTATGATGCGCCAAATGTTTTCTATGGGTGAAAGATCTGGACTGCAGGCTGGCCATTTCAGTACCCGGATCCTTCTTCTACGCAGCCATGATGTTGTAATTGATGCAGTATGTGGTCTGGCATTGTCATGTTGGAAAATGCAAGGTCTTCCCTGAAAGAGACGACGTCTGGATGGGAGCATATGTTGTTCTAGAACTTGGATATACCTTTCAGCATTGATGGTGCCTTTCCAGATGTGTAAGCTGCCCATGCCACACGCACTCATGCAACCCCATACCATCAGAGATGCAGGCTTCTGAACTGAGCGCTGATAACAACTTGGGTTGTCCTTGTCCTCTTTAGTCCGGATGACATGGCGTCCCAGTTTTCCAAAAAGAACTTCAAATTTTGATTCGTCTGACCACAGAACAGTTTTAAAAAAAAAAAAACAACTGGCGTCCATAAAATGCGATGCACAAATTCAAACATCTGGGTTGTGCTGTTTTGTTGTAAATAAACCTTAACCAATGATTCCTAATTGCATCTACTTCCGGAAGGCCAAATAAAGTGCTTTTGCTTTCGCACTGAAATACACAGCGACTCCCTGACATGGCTGCATCAACACTACTGCTGTTCCTGAACATTTGGGCGGCATTATGCTAATATTTCCACAGTGACGCAGACATGTGGGGGCATGTTAGAATGAGCCATTTTAGGTAGGCGTGGTTGACGCTTAACTTTTATAAAGAATCTCAAATCCAAAGAGAGACTTTAGTCTTTGCAACTTTACAGATCTTCTTTATGCACCAAGTGCTTGTAACACTCCAAAGAGAAAGGAAAAAAAAACAAAAAAAAACGCATCATATGACCCCTTTAAGGAACAATCTTTTTACCATCCGATTACACAAATAACATGCATCAGGCACCAGCAACAGGTACCCATACAAAAGTTGCAATAATCATTTATGTATAACAGCCTTATGTTAAAATGTACCAGAAAAAAATAAAAATAAACTGCAACTGTAACAGATGCTACAAAATCCACTCCTAAAGCCCATCTTACATCTTTGCAGCGCATCCTTCTGCTGGACATTTTGAAGTAATACTCGCTGTAGCCCTCAGGATGGAGCAGGTCCTCAGTGCAGTCCTGCAGCAGGGCACGCACAGACTTGTCCGATTCAAACACCAAGTACACATAACCTGGGGAGCAATAAAAGGGAGGAAAAAAAAAACAAAAAAACAAAACATGGCCAAAACGTTACTCAATTTAACTGGCCCACAGCCATCTCCATAACTGTAGACTGCACAGCTAACTAGGGTATGAACATCTTGCAAAGAGTTTTAAAAAAAATAAAAAATAAAAACTTAAATTCCCAGAAACAAATACCACCATGTGTATGAAGGGTTCTTATAGTCACCAAGCAGTTGAGTGCCATGAGCCACACCATCCCACAACAGTGCTGTAATAAAAGTTTCCTACCCTTTCAGCATTACCTTTGGGCATATTACCTTTCGGAGGGCAGCGAGGGTGCTTGCCATCCTTACCTGGCCACTCCACACTGAGAGGGCCATAGCATTTAAAAGTGTTTATCAAACCAGCTGGGGACAAAAACAGAGAAGCCATTAGTCTAGAAGAGATAGATAGATAGATAGATAGATGATAGATAGATAGATAGATAGATAGATAGATAGATAGATGATATATAGATATATAGATAGATAGATAGATGATAGATATAGAAGATAGATAGATAGATAGATAGATAGATAGATAGATAGATAGATAGATAGATAGATAGATATATATATATATATATGGCAATGAACCAAGAGTTCTTCCAAGAGACCCGTTTTGTGCCTGAAAATGGCAATTTATTCCAGTTTATGGCTAAACTGAGCTTTTAGCAGCCATTACTCCAAACTTTAGTGTCACATGACCCTTCAGAAACCATTTACTGCTTAAACATTATCTACGTTGAAAACGTGTGCTGCCTAAAATTGTGGAAAACATAATACGTAGTTCTCCCAATACTCTGAACAGAAAGTTAAAAAAAAAATAAAAAAAATACGTAAACCTCCTGTAACAAATGCTTTTACGGTCTCTTGATCAAGTTAATGCATCCTTGCTGAACTTACAGACTCTTACAGACCACACGCAAACTTTTAAAACGGCAGTGTAAATTGTGAAAACCAGTATCAGATAAACAGCACAGTAAAAATGTGGAGAACTGAAAGCAAATGGCACAAAATAGTCAATTAGCATTGCTGAACTTACAGACTCTTACAGACCACACGCAAACTTTTAAAACGGCAGTGTAAATTGTGAAAACCAGTATCAGATAAACAGCACAGTAAAAATGTGGAGAACTGAAAGCAAATGGCACAAAATAGTCAATTAGCATTTTTTTGCATTTAAAAAAAAAAAAAAAAAAAAAAAAAAATATTCAAGAAGATGCCACACCTCCAACAGGAATAGACCATGCGAAAACATGGCACACATACTAGACATTCAAATCAAGTTGTAGTCATTTGAAATTTCAATATTCTTCAATTAGTAGGCCAGTAATCTATTCTAAGCACGGTCATTTAAAAAAAAAAAAAAACCCTTTCCAACTTACAGCAGACTACCATTTCACGTATCTGTTGTATAAAATCAGTTTTTCTACCTTCAGTGATGTCCCAGGGAACTCCTCCTAAAAACACCTTGCAGGAATAAATGGGATTTTGGTAGTGTCTGGGGGGCAGCTGCCCACTCCATGTGAAGGTAGCTTCATTAATGGCTGTGGAGCACAAATTTACAAGATGAGCACAACAAAAGCAACACACCTGCATTATGTACTGATGAAAAACAGTACAGTGAACAGCAGCAACAGGGTTGCACAAATCTGTTAAATGGAAGTGTTAACGGACATTCAGAGGTTTCGGTGGGAGGGTGAAGGGGTGGGGGATAGCCTATTAATTAATGCTCTACAGTAGCATGCAATAGGCCATACAGGCTGCCTGTCTGTGAAGCCAGGCCTCTCTTTCAATGCTGAAGGGGCTCTCAGGGGTCTTCATTAGGTCCCAGTTGGGCCAGATGGAGGCACCAGGCCAGCGGTGGGACAGACCACCGCTTGGGGTGGCACTGGGTGGCGGGGTAAGAGGGGAGCTGCAGAGGTCCATCCGAGAACCCAGAGCTAGCTTGAGAGGATCCCTTTGCATACTAGACATAAGGAAGGGCACAGATGGCGAGATCCTCAAAGAAGACTGCAGGAGAGGGAGAGGGAGAAGAGTTAGCGTTGCCAATAAGAACATTCAAGGACCACAGAGAGCTACTTTTAAAACTAGCCTCATTAAAACACCATTCGACACTCTGCTGTTTGAATTGATAGTCAAGCCAAATTTATATAGCACTTTTGATAACACTACATTCAATAGCAGCTTTAAAGAAAGTGAAACTGCTGTGTCAGTCTTAATGGTTTTAGGGCTGGACAAAATATAATGGTAAATGATACTCAATTGAGACCTGCCTATATTGTATTTAGTGCAGCCGCCATTTGAGTGAAACTTGAATCAGTCATGATTACCCACTGCAAGGGTTTATTAAAAAAAAAAAAAAAAAAAAAAAACACGCAAAGTTAAAGGCATGAATCCTTCACAATAAGACTTAGAATATGCAAAGAACACAAGACATTAATAGAAATTTGAGCCACTCAGGATTAAAATGTCAGCTAAATGAGTAAACGTAAAACCTACTGCAAATACAATCAGCTGTCTTAAGTAAATAACCGGTTGTCAAAGTCTGGGGCCATCTTCAGAAAGTTAAGAAATTTGGGCTGCCCACAAATTAACATTTGGAACAATATTTGGAACCCAATAAATTTGGTAAACAGCTCATCTTATCCAAGGTAATTTGAAAGTTACCCTAACTATTCAAGACAAGGTGGAGGTTATTTACAATTGGGGGGGGGATTTAGAAAGAGGAAAATTGCAGTTACAGCTTATTCAGAGTATTGTGAATCCAGCCCTAATGTAAATTTAAACAATGAGATATACAGGATTTGGTTTCATTTCAATTAGTAACAGCTCTGTATACAAACAAAACTACTTTTAGACAGTTACTCTATTGAAAATGGCTTGTATTGTGGTAAAGATTTAGATTGTATAAATCACCCAAATAGCTGCTAGAAAGTCACTTCGTAATGCTTAAATTTCCCAAACAAACGCAATTGTGAGAAAATAAAAAGCCCTCTATTATTGTGGTTAGAGAAAAAAAAAAAAAAAGCCGTTATTTACAATTGGGGGGGGGATTTAGAAAGAGGAAAATTGCAGTTACAGCTTATTCAGAGTATTGTGAATCCAGCCCTAATGTAAATTTAAACAATGAGATATACAGGATTTGGTTTCATTTCAATTAGTAACAGCTCTGTATACAAACAAAACTACTTTTAGACAGTTACTCTATTGAAAATGGCTTGTATTGTGGTAAAGATTTAGATTGTATAAATCACCCAAATAGCTGCTAGAAAGTCACTTCGTAATGCTTAAATTTCCCAAACAAACGCAATTGTGAGAAAATAAAAAGCCCTCTATTATTGTGGTTAGAGAAAAAAAAAAAAAAGCCTTGGCAGAAACCAAACCACACAGAACATGATCTCAAAACACTTACCAGCAGGTCTGAGAGGTGATCAGAACCAGAGCTGAAGCCGCTGGTCTCCGAGTCCACAGGGCTAATGGAGTGAGAGTCCAGGAAAGATTGAGAGTTCAAGCGTGCCATGCTGGGAAATTTTTCTAGGAAGTCTGTGGCACCAATGGAAGGCTCAGAGTATCTCGGGGGCTTGTTGGAGAGATGGCTGGGAGTCCCCAAAATCCCTTGCACTGGGGAAAAAAAATTTAAAATAAAATTAAAAAAAAAAGTTTAAAAATTACATGCAGTAACACTAAAAATATCGCCCCAAAGTAATAAGGAAAACCAAAGTATAGATTTTTGTATTGCTTGCCAAACCATCAAAAAAAAAAAAAAATAATAATCCAAGACTCAAACAAGAACAGCTGAAAAGAACAGCTCCTATTGCAGCACTACTAATGAGAATTACCAGTGCATGAGGCAGGCCGAGAATCTGTGACTATCAACAAAAGGCTCTGACTCACTGTTACAGGCCAAGGGAGAACGGTTTAAACATGCTCTAGTCAGGACAAGGCCATAGACCCAGAAAGAGATTCCAGAAAGAAAATGTAGTTATAAAACCAGAGCCTACTGAAAACAACATTTATTTTGAATAAATATTACATAAACAGCATTGCTTAAACATTTGTGTAAAATGGTGTCAATATTATCATACGGTTGCGTTATGTTATTCATTCCACTCACGTGAGGCTGTGTTGGTCTGTGCAGAGGGATCCGTGTCATGGCTGCTCCACGGTCTCTCCCAGTCAGACAGGCTGAGGGACTGTAGGCCCAGACCCCAGTTATTGATGTCAGGCAGACCCCTGGATGAGTCCTGGCCACCGCTGGGAAAGAGCATCCTGCTCCGGACCGCAGACAAGTCAGAGTCGGGGCGACCTATTATCAGAGTCCAGAAACAAAAACACTTTTTGGTGACTCTGCATCAGCAGTGGGAATAAAAGGCATGCACATTCGAGAAAGCATTGGCTCCCTAGACTGATAAATCACAGCTCGCCTCCCTCCGCCTGGCTAAACTGCACAGGAGCAGCGGTCTCTGCAGAGACAACCCACCCTGCATGTGACCCAGGCGCTGCTGCCCTCACAGCCCCTTGCTAATGACATCAGTCGCTGGCGTCCTCTGATGCCACACCACCGAGCATTCCTGACAAATTCTCCTGCAAAGAGGCAGCACCCCCTCCCACCTCGGTCTCAGACACTCGAGGTGGCAGGGAGAGAGAGTTTGCCACTAGCTGCAGGCTAAGAGACAAAATAACTCCAGTGAATCACAGGACAGTTGCTATTGGCTAAGTAGCTGAAGAATGAGCAATCTGGGCTTCTCATGCGGAGCTGGACCACATCCAACTGCTTGCTCCAGCCCTGATTCAGCATCCTCTGTCTCGCTTTCATGACATCGCATGACCGGTGCTGTAATGATTCCCTGTGCACATGATGCTTGAATGCAGGGCCAAAGCTGAAGGTGCAAACAGCAATGCAGCAGATGCACATTAACGTGAGAAGTGGAAAAACTCTATTGTTATTGTGCCTGCACATATATAAAGGAATTGTCTGCTTGCATTTGTTGTTCATTCTACCTCTCAATTAAAAAGTGCATCTCTTCGTACACAAATTAGGGTTTACCATTAAAAGGGTCTCGCTTGCATTTGGCAGTGGGTGTTGTGCAAACCCCGCTCAGATCCAGCGAGTTTCCCAGCATGGTGTTCATCCTGGAGAACGTGTCTGCATTGCTGCATGTAGACAGGGCTGGAATATCAGAATCCAGGCAGTTAAGAAGTCTGGGATTCTCACTCTGTCAGAACAAAACAGACATGCATCACAGAAATAGTAAAAACATAGGCCTGATTCTTCCCTTACCCCCTTTCCACACCATTTTAGGTTCAGTTAGCAAAACCGTATGATGCCATAAGATTTGAAATTAAGTAGAATAAGCCTGTAAGGAAATTAATGGTGAACAATAAGCCTATAAGTTAATTTGCCACGCATGCTGTTAAATTGAACAACAAAGCAGCCAATGATTAAATCTGACAAGCCCAATCAATGGCAACTATATTAACGGACCCCTACCTCACTGTAAACCATTACTGATGACAGATACAGGCTATCATAACAGCTAGCATTTCTGCATGCTCAACAACAAAAAAGGAGTGGAATACTTATTTTCACTTCTAAATAACCCCAAAATTTAATTGAGGTAGTAAACGCGGGTCAAACAATCACAAAGGAAACATTTGACACGCTCACAAAAACTACTTTTAACAAAAGTGGTGCAAGATTCAAATCCGAACTAACACCGAAACTCACCAAAGAAAACGCCATGATAGGACTATCAACCAAAATTATCGAAAACAACACCTTATTTAACTCTCCTAAGTCTACTTAAACCTTTCGAAGGCTATTTTGGCCTAATTCACAACACCTGTGCTCGGGTCAAGCACCTCTTTCTCTCCTGGGAGACAGTCCTTCTCTTGAGCAACCAATCACTGGTTACATATTGATATTTATTCATGAGGGTCGGGTACTTGACGTGGACGTCATTTTCCATAGGCTAATTTACTGTTTCAAAAACTACCGTATGTTTTAAATGCCCCCAAATTATCTATATTATATCATTCATTACAATATTTCTGATTGCTGTCCCAGTCTCATTTTCTCATACAAGTTAATTCTGCTTATTCAACAAAGTTGGTCATAGCGTCTGATGTGTTGTGCATTTTAGAGCCTTCTGCGAGATTTATGAATATATTTAGATCTAACAATTTGATTATTAATTTTTGTCATTATCTAAATTGTGCAATGCGAGTGAGGCATACAGCCTATTTGAAGTGCGTCACGTCGCGTGTAAATTTCTTTTATTGACAGAAATCAGGACCACGGAGAGCAGCATTTATAAATTGGGCCTTTATCAAAGACAAACTACACTTTGTACGTTTGGAGTAAAGACTTCTGTAATACAATAAATACAAAAGTGATCAACAACAGGCACATTGCTAGAGTGCTCAGTAGCAACTTTCAGTGCAGGCAGCCTATTTAAAACAAATTACAAAGACTACCGACTCACTTCCTCTAGAGGGCAGCACTTACATTATTTGTTTCTTACGGTCTTCTCTTTGATAGTTCACTTCAAACGTAAAGGTTTCATGTTGTTGTAAACCTGTTTGACGTTCTGTAATGACACAAAAGGATATGTTGGGCACAATGGGAGTCTCAGACTTGTTTTTTTGCATAAAAACAACTGAAAGAGTCGGTCTTTGACATTCTGCCTAACATCCCTTTTTGTGCTACATGGAAGAAATTCATGCATATTTGAAAACATGGATGACTAAATTTTTAGATGAATTGTCTAAATTATGCCCCTAATTCCAGAGGTTTAATCTGAGTACATGATCAATGGATCCATGCAAGCTGCTGCAATTCGAACAAAGCTGTAGTGCACAGTTCAATAAAAGTACACAAGCCATTTTAATGCATTCCCATTTTAATACTATCATACAGCAGAATTTTTGTACACCAAACACATTTTTTTTTACAAAAGCATTTCAAATGTCTGAATTAACCATTACTATACCCACACTAAACACATGCACCATTGTAGCATATCTTTATATTCAGAGTATTAACTTGAAACAGCAATTTCATGTTAGCAGCAAATTTGCCGTCCATATACACTGTTAGTTTTGTGCCACACTGACAGTCAAAAACAAAACAAAATTACAACTTAACCTCTGAAACTGCTATAAAAGGACATGGATACAAAAACAAATAATAATAATAGAGTTACCAATAACTTATACAGATTATTTCAATTGCACAAACTCTTCTCTCCCCAGTCACACACTCTAGATTGAGGTTGTCTCATATTTTGTAAAGTCATCAGACCCTCTGTGATGTGTTAAGGCTGATTTACAGTGGAAACTAGCAGGGGGAAACCATCTGGCTGTCTGGACATCACATTACCCAAAATAATTTGGCCAGTTTTGTACATAACATAAGCATCTTTAATGACCAAGCTACTAAACAAGGCAAACTGAACAAGTTTACACCGTTCACGGAAGCAACAAACATACTACAATGACGCACAGAGCTACACTTCATTCCAAAACCAACATGCTCAATGTCAGCTTCAGTTGATTGTCTCATTTTACTTAGACCCAGAGCAAATCTCAATGAATGAATAAATGAGTATCTAAGCTTAAATTCTTCAATACAAAAAACAAACAAAAAAAAAAAGTTCAAGGGACCGATCCATTAAGAACCGCTAAGGTCTATTTTTGTGCTGTTGGCAATGACTTCAATTAGTGATGTCAAATGATTAATCACATCAAAAATAAGTTTTACATAGTGTGCTGTGTATATTTATTATGTATGCAAATACCCACACGCATGTATAAATTTCAGAAAAATAGGATGTTTATATTAAATATTTATTTAGAATATAAATTATATGAACGAATGAATATATATATATATAGACATGTAAATACATGTAGATATTTTTAAAATACTGTGTGTTTTTATATATACACACACACACAATACATATACACAGAACACACATTATGCAAACAAACTTTTTTTGTATGCGATTAATCACGATTAGTCATTTGACAGCACTAATTTCAATACAAGCTCAACGAGCAATACAAACTCAAATTTCATCTCTTCATGGCCTAAATTCAAAGGACTTAATACATCCAAAAACAAAGTTCAAATGAACTGGACTGATGTTAAACAGGAGCTGGAAGACACCATTTGAAGAGAGAAACCTGAAAAGAAAAAAAAGAAAAAAATCATCATCATCATCATCATTATTATTAAAACAGAACATTTTATAAATCACATGTTGCATGTGAGGTAATGGAATGGCCTTACTATATTTTAACAGAATTGCCGTGATTTCCATCCAGGCTGGGATGAGTCTGATGTGGAGGGATACCAGCGCATCTAAACAATATAAAAAAATAAATAAAAAAAAACCCCATAAATTAACACCTTCAGACTTTGTGACACAGCCAAGGAAATCTTCACAATTCATTAGCATGAGACCCAAGCAGTCACAGCTGACAGTTTGCTTTCTTTGAATACTTAATTATAACAACTTTTGCGCCAGGACCATTAGCCTTTACTTGACATTTAGATAGCCTCTACTTATCTGGGATAGGCAAACATGTTAGCATTGAGCAAAGTAGTAACTCATTCACGTAACAACTAACATAACTTAAAGATGACTGGCACACAAAACATGAAATTATCTTTTGGAGGTTGTCAAATAGGTAAATACATAATGCAACCAAAGCATAATGTTTAAAGACTTTAATGGCTCAAATTATTTAAATGATGCTTGCTATATTTACTTATTGGCCAGAAAGAATACTCAAACTTTTATTCACATTTCTAATAAATGTTCATAATAAGCGTGCATTAAAAGATCGTCCAACAAATCAGATTTACTGTAGCATAACACACATACACATATTTGAGTTTACATTTTATAAATGTGGTCTAATTTTTAAAATAAAACTTCAAAGCAACATATATTGATGTATTTTTACATTAAAATGTATCGTTTCCCTTCTGGGGAAAAAATCCTTTGATTTTGACAAGATGACTAGCAGGATTACATTGTTAAACATTGCCTTCCATAAATTAGTGCATAATATTCATAAAGATGAATTTGGATCCCAGTGCAGAAATAAAAAAAAAAGTTAAATTTAAGAAAAATAATAAAACAAACGAGAAGGGAAAGAACAAAAACATGCAAGAAAAAAAAAAAAAATTTAAAATAAAATAAAAATGAGAATTGACAAACAAGAAAAAAAAAATCTAGAAGCAGGAAAAAAGAAATAAAAGGAAAAATTTTCCGAATTAAAAAAAAAAAAAAAAAACTGGTAAAGATGGCCTCACCTGAGCATGAAGTGCGGCTGCTGCTGGGTAGGTGAAAGCCGTGTGGGGCAGGCCTGGGCTGAGCTCCGGGGTATAGATAGGGTAAGGAGACCAGGCCTCTGGAGATGCTGGGATCAGTGCTGCCCCTGTCAAGTCATCTGAGGATTGGGATAAGCACAGCAAACCATCACCTCAGGCCAGCTCAGTTCAGTATGTCAGATATGACTGAAAACAACACTTCAAAATCAAGTGTTTGACAAATTGTTGAAGTCAGAGGCCCTAACACACCAAAAGACTCCTAAAATTAACAAAAAGAGGCAGGAACTAAATACTGATACCTGTGTGATCTCTGGTAATTTCTGTGACTTGGAACAGAAGAGAGGTTGAATGAGATGTGAAGTGCTAAGGCTCAACTTAAGTGTAATAGAACTAAGACAGGGGTAGGCAAGTTCGGTCCTAGAGAGCCGCAGTCCTGCAGAGTTCAGCTCCAAACCTGAAAAAAGAAAAAAAAAGAAAAAAAACTCACCTGCCTATAGCCTTAGTAATCCTGAAGACATTGATTAGCTTGTTCAGGTGTGTTTGATTAGGGTGGCAGCTGAACTCTGCAGGACTGCGGCTTTCTAGGACCGAACTTGCCTACCCCTGAACTAAGAGAACAGAAAAGGCCATTTGCTAATGACACATGCATGTGGATGTGGATTAGTTTCTTCTTGTGTTTTCCTAAGATCTACTCTATAGATGTGTAGCTACAGAGTGTGTGTGCCGGTCTGTCCGTCTCTGCAGTGTGAACTACCGTGTCGGCCATGAACTTACATGGGTCCCGTGCTATGAAGTGCGCTCCTAGAGCTGGGTGGATATTTGTGGGATTCGGAGTGCCCATCAGCTTACTCTTTGCCATCTTCGTGTTGGCCTTAGCAAACTCTAACCGGAGGGTCTGCGGGTTTTCAGGGTCAAACCGAACCCCCTGGAGACACAAGGCGGGGAGGGGGGGACAGAGTATTGGGGATGGGTTGTGCCTGCCAGACCCTGGTCAAAATGTGCAGTGCGTTTTAAGCTGGTGCCCACATGCAGTGAACGTTTCTACTAGTGAATGAACAGCAAAGCTAGTGGTTACCTAAATGGAAGTGGACACATACTACACGCTAAAGACAAAAAAACATTAATGGTAATCTACCATAGAGTGGCTTCTCCGAATCATGGTGCTCAGTAACTTTTGAAATGAACATTATGCACTTATTTGTAATGTATTGGAACAGATCAATGAATATGGGACACCTTAAGCTCACCATGCTTTATGGTTAAATGTTATAAATAGAGAAATGTATGCAAGCTATGGCCATTGTTGTATAAATTGACAGTAGAAAAATGCGCGCACACACACACAGCTGGTTTCTTACATTTAACGCATTCTTTGCCGCTTCAGCACCAGAACGACTATCAAAGGTTACAAAACCAACAGGCTGGAAAAGAAAGAATGAATAAATCAATGGCCACAGTATCATTTATCAAAAACACAAGAGACATGGTAATGTATTTTTTTCATTAATATTAAAACACACAAAATAATAATAATAACAACAACAACAACAACAACAACAATATAATATTGATTGCACACTACACCGTACTAAATATAGGTTTATAATCACTGAAAGAAAAATAAATAGGCATGACTGCAGCACAAGGGCAAAAGTACATGTTTTTAACACACAGGCCTGGTCAGCTGTAATATCAAACAATGTCTCACCTGCTTTGATGTTAACTTGATAAGTGAACCCTCATAACCCTGAAAAGGAAAAGAAATCCAATTAGCAGCAATGTAGTCACATGCTTGAAAAAGGAAGAAATTCCTGCTGCACTCCCCATAAGAGGCCAACTCTGTCAGATAGAAACATTTAAAGAGGATGCACTTTACCGCACTGCTAACCTGTGCGAGTGGAACATCTCTGCTGCCAAGTGTTATTCCAATTCTTACAACTCAAACTCAATTTATAAACTTGATTATTCCCCTCCAGTTAATTCATTGTTATAGTGAGAATTGTGATAATTTCTAACAGTTGCTTGGGTGACCACAACAATTAGGAGCTAAGACACAAGTAAAGTTATGACTAAACGCGGTCAATAAGATTTACTATTTAAAACATCTGTTTTTACCTTAAATGGTCGAAACAGCAGATAGAGCTCACGGGGTTTGATATCTGTTGGCAGACCACTGACAAATAGAGTTCGTACCTGTAAAATACAAAAAAAAAAAAAATCAAATACCTAATATATTTTAAATATGTGAAAAAAAAAAAATACTAGATAACAAAGAGGACTTGGTTAAGACACAGAACAGAAATGAAGTGATTAAGGACCCTTGGAAAACAAAGTCAGCATGAATTTAATAAAATAAGAAAAAAAATCTCATGGTTTGCAATGAACTGAAAAACACAACGTCAAGAATTGCGTTTTAAAAAGCCTGGCAGCTTTACACTCAAAGCAGAAATGTACAGCACAAAGATTCAAGACAAACATTTAATATGGCCACATTCAGCTAAATGACTATAGAAATAAACAAATGCGCATCCACTCGCTTGGACTTGGTAGGCGGTTCAAAGCCACAATGGACTGCCAGTGGAACAGCGATGGACAACATTGCACAGCGTGACAGCACTTCCTTCCTCTGACCCACAGCAACAACCCCAACAGCGCAACACCATTCCTCGGCCCTCAACCACAGCTCCACAACCCCTCACCTCTACTGTGCATCACCTGTATGTTGTAATGATAGTATAAAGGTTCAATTTAAATTAATTATTAGCTTCATGTTGTTTAGGAAAATTGATTATTCCAACAGCTGCAAGTTATATTGACATCCACAATCCAAAATAGAGTTTTCAAAGTTGTGCAATGTGATTATATTGTGTCTTATTTGAGATGCCATTCATGAATGGAGCAAAATGGCCTGCATAATGGCAGCAGTGTTCATATATATATAAACCTACATTTCACATGTTTATTGCCGTTTGAGAGAGAGAGAGAGAGAGAGAGAGAGAGAGACCAATAAAACTGAAATATGTTTTAAAGTAAGCCATTTATTTTTAGTTTAAACTGTTTGCATTTTTAAAAGCATGGTTCATGAAGAAACCACTAAATAATTTCTCCGTGCTGCATTACGACCATTACAATTTTTTATTTTTACAATCACGGTCAGTGACGCTGAAGCCAATTTCAAACAATTCGGTGATTTGCGCCGGTCTACGTGACGGTTTGAGATAAACTACATCGAGCCTTCCAAACAAAGTACTTGAATAAGTATGTATTTTATTGAGACCTTCACACATGGCGCAATTTAACTCCCTAAATGTTTGAAGGAAGCGCCATTAACACACCGCTCAACAAACAGATAATCTTTCAAGGTAAAGAGATGGTCATTAATTTCCCGTTTTGAATTGACTTCAAACCACCGTCTTTTAATTCTCGGGTGATTATTTCCTTACTTTCCCTGACAGCAAACAACTTCACGGAGAGACGCTGAGGCTCCCCTTCACACTTCAAAAGTCTGAAACTAGTTTAAATCGACCTAGACAGATTTACTCATTACAACACCTCAGGGACTCATTTAAAACCCCGAACTCTCACCTCCTCTTCAATAGAGACGTTGTTGTTTGGCTCGGAGTCAGACTTGATACTCATCTTGTGCGTAAACTTTAAACACCCAGATGGACCGTCAGAAGTTTCGTTTTTTTCCGCGTCCTAAAGTGCGACTGGATCCTGATGGCGATCCGTGCGGGACTCAGCAGAACTCGTGCGGGACACTGAAGTCGTGTCAAAAGTGCCAGGTGAACTGAAGACGCGAAGGTGACTCGGTGAAAAGAAGTGCAGTGCGTGGTGGTGGGGGGGGAAGAGAAATGGCGGTGCCACCTCACATTTACCTCTTTTTAAATGTTAAATTTCAAAGAAAGCAGAGCTCATGGGTAAAACCTGTTCCATAGTTGACCTGTAGATGACCAATTAGGTCATCAAGTGAGATGGGGCAGGCTCGAGAGCGGCGTTGCAGCTGGTGGATAAGCCAACCCCTCCATTAGTGAATCATCGCCTTCATGGGAAAGTACGGACCAATTGGAACCGCTCCTTTTATTATTGGAGACATCTCATATCAACTGTATCAGGAGGAGGGAGGGGAGTAAATAAATAAAAGAGAGAAATGGCATATTAATTCGTTTACTCGAGAGATATAAAAACTTTGTAAAACTAACTTTAAAGTTTCTTTATGGGTGGCAGTTGTGAAAGGATCAGGGTGTAGCCTATACATCCTCTATTTGTTTGTTGAAAAACTGAGCTGTTCTAAAAATAACCCTGACATTTGAGTGCATTTAATTATGGGAACATCTGTTTAAAAGGAAAGCTACTTGTCTTTAAACGTGGCGAGACACACACGATACAGGGAACCGTCTATTAAAAATGGGCCTGTACTGTAAAAGCTCATAAATGTCATGTTAGACTGTTTGCACCTTCAGCTGGTCTTCTGTCCCGTTTCCTGATATTGTGTAGTCGCACAAAGTAAAGGAGCTTGTTGAAGCCGGCGGGGTGCGGTTGGGTTTGAGAACACGTCGTTTTTTTTTTTTTTGTTTTTTTTTTGTAGCGATTGACCTAGTGTTGTTTTGTACAATCTGTCTAAATATAGACAAATTCTTTCTTGCCATGCCTCTCTAATTCCATTGTACATAAGGGAACTATATGAACTATTTATAAATCCTACAGATGTTTATACACAGACTTGCAGTTTGTTTGAGGGCCTGTCTTATAGTGACTGCTTAATTCGGTTACAAGCTCCAAACTGGATGTGTTTAAAGCTTTAATGTACTAACATATAGTTTGGAAAAATATTTGCCAACAACATCAAATGAAAGGTTGACCGCCCTGATGTCAGTTTTTCCATTAACACTCATTCGAATAGTAACCTATGCCTCTTGTCTTGTTCTCAGGGGTTTAAAAATAAGTCAAACAGAGCACAGAGGTACACAGAGCCAAAGATGATTATACAGTAGACAGACTGATAGACGTATCAGTGCCAGGCTCTTAAAGAATGACAAGTGTACAGATTGGCTGAGTGCAGACATGCCATCGCCAGAAGGGTGCTGGCATTCGTCTGACACGTTACACTGCAAAGTAACATTCAGACCAATGGTTTTAAAAATATGTCATCTCCTTCTAGTACTTTGTAAATCAAAGAAAGACAACATAGTATCATAAAAGTGACAGGTTGGCTAATCCCTGCGAATTCTCGGCGCATTGTTAATCGACATCCCGTTTCGTGTCATCTCCTTGTTAGTGGTGAGCTCCCCAACACAAAGCCTGTACAGTGGGGCCAGAATGCTGTGATGAGGCCTTCATGTTTTATTGGAGAAGAGCAGGCCCATTGTCCCAAAAGCCACCTCAATCCACACTCCTCCTCCTATGCCTCACTGGCCCCGTCCCATCGCATCAGCGTCATAGAGCTCCACAGCACTTAGCTTGTTTTCCCTGTGTCCTCTGTGCCTCACTGCATATCCAACATTTACTCCAGCGCTCCTTCTTTCAGCTCAGAAGAGACGTTCAAGTCTGATTGAGGAAATATATTCCTTTTGGAAAGGCTTTATCCCTTTAGATGTACATAAGTGGTGACATTATTGAGAGTTTTTTTTTTAGTTTTTGATTCATGTTGTGAGTGATGATCCTCAGTGATGCATCCACATTAATAGGCCGCATATAATTTTTGGCTTCTTTTTTTCCCATCAAGTCAGCAGGATTGCACTGATGTAAAGGCTGATTTTTGATTTTTGCCCCAATTTACAGTCTGGGTGAGTCGCTATAGTTGCCAAAAGTCTGCAGAATTGACAGAAAATTGCATAGTTTGTGATGGGCCCAAACACAGATTTTTTCAGCTTCAGAATATGATTCCATCCAGTCGGAGGAGATCAAACATGTTTGATATTTTAAGACAATTGTAGAAATCATTGTTTTAATTTGTAATGCACCTCTAAGTAACGAGGCAAGCATTTCTCCATGAGTTTGTTGTATTCGGAATGATTTTAAAGTCTGGTGGTGTGTGATCCTTAGTTGTTCAGTTTTCTTTCTAACCACTTACAGAGTCGACAAGTGTATGATGCCTAGTATTTTAAAATCTGTTACGATTTTAAAAGTTGTGTAGTGTATTTCAGCCGGGGATTTCTCCATCAGACTGAAATACTCTGGTTTTAACTCCTTCACTAAATAGGCAGCACACACGGACATTGGTCAACATGTCTCCTCATTGTAACATCAGCTTGATGCCCAACTGGGATTCAAACTGCTCTCAGTCTCAAGAAACCTTCCTACTCGGCCATTTTAGACACCAAACACCTAAAACACAAAGTCACCACAGTTCATTGCCTCATGGTCAGTGACAGGTTTGCCACTGTAAAAACAAACCATTGGTGTAGAATCTCTGGAATAATTGTTGATGCAGAGCTGGATAAAAAACAAACACAAACAAAATAATGGTAAGTGCTGCTTGCATCGATACAGTCTATTTCCTGTTTAATTCTTGATGGCCTCTTTTGCTTCTTGAAGCAATGAGACCTTGTGACCAAAGGATATTAGTATGCCCTTTAGCTTTCTCTTGCATCTGTATTCTCTTGGACTGCCAAGTCAGAGTTGACAAAAGCTCTTGTGTTAATCTGTCATTTCCTCTATCTGTTACCATCTGTCTTTTCTTATATTAAAGCAAACAACTATGAAGACACCCGCAAATGATAACTAATGTTTTTGTTGAGGTTTTTTTTCTTTTGCTCACATATTAGTTAAAGTTTTACTATATCTTCTTGATTAAAGAGCTATTTACTTTATGTCCTCCCTCATATTTTCACAAGTGATCCCATGTTTCCTGTTTAAATTTGGAAAATGCACATGAAATGTTATGCTGTTAAAACAAAGGGCAACACATTCCCAGAGAGACAAATTGAGATCGGATAGCACGGAACTCTGGCGTTTTGACGCTGTCTAACATAAACATTCCATGCATTTAGAAAATACAATCCCAGCCAAACTTTTTGTTAAAGGAACATCTCATGAAGACTATGTATAATGTAAAAAACAAGAAATCAAATAGTAAATACTCTGGAAACTGGATGGGAACATCAAAATTTGGCCCTGTTCCTTGAGCCTAGACTGGCTGCCAAACAGGACAAATTACAAAAAGCTCCCATTGAGGCTCTTCAGTGCTCCATCTCAAATAATTGGGCTTAGCTCATACTGAGAGAAGCAAACATGAGCTACTGTGTATTCAGACAAATGACAATTTGAACTGCGGCTGTCCAATGTGAAAAGACAGGATGACTATATTTAATAATACTTATAAAAAGATTATAGTTATTAAAATTATTATTCAAATTATACAGTAAACTAAGGACAATTTGAGCCTACAAGACAAAATGCACAAGAATAAAAACTCTGACCACTTCTCCATAAGGGTTTTGGAAGTGTGCTATGCTGAGCCTCAACAAAATTTGGGTTATTTTAATTGATAAAATATGTAAACATATTTTATATGTCATATGTACAACATCATTGTATAGACCTTAGTCAGGGAAGATGCCATATGATTTTTACGGGAATGAAAACGAGGCTGTGAGGGACAAGCTTAAAGTCTTTTCAATGGTACTCACTATATAAAACTCACAACTCTCAAATCAGTTTTATGTAGTTTTTGTCTGCTGAAAGTTTTTTTTTTTTTTTTTAGAAGACATTTCATCAGCCTAACAGCATGTTGTTAAACTACTACTACAGTCCATTAAAAATGCTGTACTTCTGTCCTCACAGCCTTGCATAAAGTTCAATATGGTGCTACCATAAAGTCTATGTGCACAGTCTAAGAGTGCGCAAATTAAAGTATAAAGTCTTAAAGTCTGAGTGCACAAATTAAAGTTTTTGTAGCAACAAAGTATTAAAACTTGATTTTAGGGGACGGTCATCATCGGCAAGGCTTTTTTAAGACTTACCATCAAACACAATCAGCTTTTGAGACCCACTTTTCTGGTGGTGCAAGCAGAACTTCATATAGTCATTTTAAACCTCTCACACAGCACAGACTGCAAAGTAGAACTACAGAAACACAGAAAAACCAGTCAAGAGGAACTGATCTCATCAAATATTAAACAGAAGTCGGGGAGTGATTCAGTGATGCATGGGACTGTTAAGGGCTGGATAAGGGGCGTGCATGATGGAGCTAAAGTGGGCCAATATGCATATGTTAAGATTTACCTTCTCAATATGAGATATGAGAGCAATACTAAAGGTTTTTAAAAATAAAATGGTCACAAATGTTTTGGTATTGACTCATCATTTGGTATTCCAGAAATGTGAACATGTTCTGAAGACTTACTTTTATAGATTAATATTGCACATGCAATAAAATGACACCACATATTCTTTTGAAACTGTTCTAATATCTTCTCAACATCAGTCTATCTCAGTTTAATCAGTGTTTTTGTAGACAGTGAGGACAATCATATGGAATCGCTAGAAGTCAGACTTAAATACAGCAAGGGAATGGGCACTACGCAGCTGTCCATCACATGTACTAAAGTCTGTCTCAGCCACTAAGAAAGATGAATATTTCATAATGACCCTCCCTCCTGTATGGGCCTGTCAGCTCCTGTTCTTTCCACAACTGCACAACACACTCTCTCTGGACTTAAGAGGACGGTACAGTTTGCATTATTCAGACGCTCCATGCTGTGCACTTTCTGTCGCTTTAAAAAACGGGGCCATATGGGATGATAAATAAAGCAGCCTAAATGTAACCATACATGTACGAGATCAGAAATGTGCATCTTGCTCTATTGCCTGTACAGCTTAGAAACTTTGCGCTTGTACAAGACTCAGTGTTGACTCAGCCACCCTTACGAAAAAGAAGTTTATTCAGGTGTGCTATTAGTGTACTTCTTTTAAACTAAAAATAGGAAAGTATACTTTTAGTCTACTTTTTATGTACTTCTCAGAAATGGGCTTTATGTACTTCTCAGAAATATACTTAAAATGACATTTAAGTATACTTGACTTATAGGCTACTTAGAAAAAGTCTA